GGAGTCCAATCGACTTGGCAACCCTAGCACAACCACAAAATGGCTGCTATGGGTGTTGGAGCCAGCCACAAAATGGCTGCTATGGGAGGTGGAGCCAGCCACAAAATGGCCGCTGCGGAAGGTGGAGCCGCACACAGTAAGAGGCCCAAGTGCAGGGGATGAGAGTAGTAACTTTAAAAAATACACTGGAGTAGAGGAGTGTGAGAGAGAATAGAACCAACACTCGTCTAGCTCGTATTGATTTCTTTGGATCTCTAGCTGAGAAAGGTCTTTCCCATGTCTTCTTCCTTAAGATCTTTTCAGATCCTGGAGATGCCAGAAATTGAAAGGGGAGAAAGAAGATTCTTTCCCCACTCTTGCTACCAGAAGTTCACTGACTAGGGATGCCAGGGATTGAATTTGGGATATTCTGCATGCAAAGGAGGCCTTGTACTTTGGAGCAGTGGACCCTCGCCAGTAGCCAATGGGGTACAGGATGTGGAGAAGGATTTCCTGCAGGGGTAATTTTGTAGAAAAAGAGCTAGGGGAACTCATTAGCATAACTCATTAGCATATGCCACACCCCCTGACATCATAAGGCCCGGCAGTGGATCTGCAAGGCCGGCGGGAGTGTGAGGAAGCCCCACCAAGGCCCTCCCTGGCCCCAGGCAGGGGTGGGGAGAGGCGGGGAGGAAGCAACTTACCCTCCCTCTTCTCCTGCCTCCTCCTGGCTGAATGAGGGCCGGAAGTGGAGCAGCCAGAAGCAGGGGGTGGGGCTTCGTGTGTGCCCCGCCCCCCCACACCTCACCGGGGGAACTGCCTTCCCCCGCGTCCCCCCCCCAAATGACCTCTGATTTCCTGTAATCAGGGATGGGGCTTTGGTGCTGTCTGTCACATTTGGTTCCTAGCGGAAATGTCAGCATTGTGAAACAAACAAACAAACTGGGTTGGATCTAGACTAAATTTTCCACTAAGGGAGGGTGTAACTTCCGCCAATTCCCTCTGCCCCCTGTAGTCCACCTATTTGCACCTCATCCCATTCCTGAGGGTCCCCTGTCCCCCAGGAGTAGCATTTCAGGGAGATCTGTGGGCAGTAGTGGGAGACAGAGACGGGAATGTTCTGTTCCCCTGATGGAAGTGCCTCCCGTTAGTGGGTTTTTTAATCTGGATCCAACCTGGTGTCTGCAGTTGTACATAGTTTACCCCAGAAATGCAGGTCACAGAATCTAGATTTACTCAATGTAAAGTTTGGTGCAAGTTTTTGAATGATGAGTATTACAGTCTGTTACATAAGTGTTGGATAGGGTTGCTAACTGCAGCTTGGGAAATTCCTGGAGATTTGGGAAGGGGCGGGGCCTGGGAAGGGCAAGAGTTTAGGGTGGGAAGAAAACACAGAGGGGATGCAATGTCTCTCTAGGACTTGTGTTTCTCTATGGCAAACCATAGAGTCTGCCTTCCAAAGCTGCCATTTCCTGCAAGGGAACTGATCCACGTAGCCTGGACATCAGTTGTTATCCCAGGAGATCTCCAGGATCTACCTGGAGATTGGCAGCCCTACCGTTGGACAATGCCTAATACAAAGTCCATGAATTCAGCTTTGGAAGCCCCTCCCCCCACATTATCACTCTCTCCAGGGGTCATTTCGTAGGAAAAGAGGTGCAGGAGCACATTAGCATAACTCATTAGCATAACCTATTTGCATATGCCACACCCCCTGACATCACCGGAAATGTGTCAGAAGGCAACACCCACCGCTCAGGCTCCACTGGACTGTTTTGGATTGCTAGCTATTGGGGGGAGGGGGGGAACATGCAGATCTGTCCTCGCAGAGGAGGGAGAGTTTGTGCCTGAATAAAACTTGGTCTTAAAGGTGCCACTGGACTGTTGTGGACCATGGGGCCGGGGGGGGGCTCTGCAGCTTACCTGGTTGCTTCTTGCGCTGACTTGCAGGGGGTGGGGCTTGTTGCATGTGCTCGCCCCCTGGGCTCTTTCCTGCCGGAGCTCCGCTCCTGCAGGAAATGACCCCTGACTCTCCCCCCTCCCCATACTCATGGCAGTTTTCAGGGAAAGCACATTTCTGGCTCCAAAACATTAGGGAGAGGAAGGAAATCTTATCGGTAGATGAAGCATCCCCCATTGCCTCCCCGCTCCCCTGCAGCCGTTATACCTGCAAATAGCAGTGAACCCTCGGACAGAGCACTTACTTCCGTTCCATGATCTTCCTGAACTCTATCCTAGAGAGGACACCGCGGGACTGGGCTTGGATGCGGGTGATGATGCGGGAGAGGCGTTCGTCCCTCATCTCTTCGAGCAGGCCCAGAAGACCAGCCTTGAAGAACACCTGGACAAAAAGAGAATTGGGGGGGGGAAGGGCCTCAGGATTAAGGTACTGGCAGAAGTTAAGAGCCAAGAGATTGAGGCAGACATCTCCAACGTTTTTTCCAGCCTGTGGGCACCTTTGGAATTCTGACACAGGGAGATGGGCACAGCCCCAAAATAGCTATTACAAAATGGCTGCCCGAGGAGGCGGAGCCAGCCACAAGATGGCTGCCGTAGCTTATGTTTAGTCACGCAGTGAAGATCTTTCTGCGTGGCAGTTGCTGCCAAAGCAGCATTTTTTTAACAAAACGGCGTAGCCAATCACATCTACAATGGCCAATCAGAAGCCCTGCTGGGGAGAAATGCTACCTGGCCCCATCCACTTTCTCAAAACACTTGATGGGCACCTAAAAGTTGTTGTTGGTCACTGTGCACGCTGGGGACCCCTGAGATAGGGGGTTAAGGGGCAAGCCAGCAGAGTGCTTTCCCTGCAGCGGTGGCCCCCTCACCTTGGTGTGTCCAAATTTGTACTGATTGTGGTCGATGTCCAGAGAGCCAAGCAGCTTCTCGGCTCCCTTCCTGCTATCGATGAACTGACCCTCCGGGATAGCGGCCGGATTCAGGATACGATACCTGGGAACGAGAAAGGTATAAATACCTCTGTCAGCTTCCCCTTTGGCGGAACTTCTCCGTGCAGCGGTGGCAGCTGCTTACGCCAAAGCCCGGAGTATTCCACAGTTGCACTGCACAAGAATAGAACTCGGTATCTCGGTAAAACGGAGACTCTTGACCATCTCAGCTGACCCCCATTCTTCAGAGAAAAAGAACCCTAAAGTGTCTAGCCTTCGTGGAGGTGAAGATTAGCCTGGAAACATATGCAGGCAGATCTCAAAAATCAGAGAAGGTTTGAGCATGAATGTCCAGATGGACCGGAGCGGGCCTTCCCATTCCTGGCTGTGGCTGTCAGAAGAATAAGTCATGGGGGGAAAACCCAAAGGCAAATCTATGCATACCTGGGGTGCAATTGAATTTATTTATTTTTGAGCAGAGTAAACGTAACCCTGGCAGTGCTCTGCAGTTGGGGCTGCCTTCGTTCCGATGTTGCCCCGTAATGGGAAGGCCTTCCCCACTACCAGGGGTCATTTCCTGTGGGAGCACTTTGGACTGCCTGTGGACTATCTTGCTCCCGCCTGGCCTGATACCGCATTCCTGACAGGGACTCAGGATTAAGGTACCAGCAGAAGTTAAGAGCCAAGAGGTTGAGGCAGACATCTCCAACTTTTTTTCCAGCCTGTGGGCACCTTTGGAATTCTGACACAGGGAGATGGGCACAGCCCCCAAAATAGCTGTTACAAAATGGCTGCCCGAGGAGGCGGAGCCAGCCACAAGATGGCTGCCGTAGCTTATGTTTAGTCACGCAGTGAAGATCTTTCTGCTTCGTGGCAGTTGCTGCCAAAGCAGCATTTTTTTAACAAAACGGCGTAGCCAATCACATCTACAATGGCCAATCAGAAGCCCTGCTGGGGAGAAATGCTACCTGGCCCCATCCACTTTCTCAAAACACTTGATGGGCACCTAAAAGTTGTTGTTGGTCACTGTGCACGCTGGGGACCCCTGAGATAGGGGGTAAGGGGCAAGCCAGCAGAGTGCTTTCCCTGCAGCGGTGGCCCACTCACCTTGGTGTGTCCAAATTTGTACTGATTGTGGTCGATGTCCAGAGAGCCAAGCAGCTTCTCGGCTCCCTTCCTGCTATCGATGAACTGACCCTCCGGGATAGCGGCCGGATTCAGGATACGATACCTGGGAACGAGAAAGGTATAAATACCTCTGTCAGCTTCCCCTTTGGCGGAACTTCTCCGTGCAGCGGTGGCCGCTGCTTACGCCAAAGCCCAGAGTATTCCACAGTTGCACTGCACAAGAATAGAACTCGGTATCTCGGTAAAACGGAGACTCTTGACCATCTCAGCTGACCCCCATTCTTCAGAGAAAAAGAACCCTAAAGTGTCTAGCCTTCGTGGAGGTGAAGATTAGCCTGGAAACATATGCAGGCAGATCTCAAAAATCAGAGAAGGTTTGAGCATGAATGTCCAGATGGACCGGAGCGGGCCTTCCCATTCCTGGCTGTGGCTGTCAGAAGAATAAGTCATGGGGGGAAAACCCAAAGGCAAATCTATGCATACCTGGGGTGCAATTGAATTTATTTATTTTTGAGCAGAGTAAACGTAACCCTGGCAGTGCTCTGCAGTTGGGGCTGCCTTCGTTCCGATGTTGCCCCGTAATGGGAAGGCCTTCCCCACTACCAGGGGTCATTTCCTGTGGGAGCGCACAGGAGCGGAGCTCTGGCAGTAAGGAGCCCAGGGGATGGGCATATGCAACAAGCCCCACCCCCTGCTCCCAGTAGCCCTCAGTTGGGCCACGAGGAGCAAGAAGCAGCCAGGTAAGTTGCAGAGCCCCCCCCCCCGGCCCGCCACATACTTCCGGTGATGTCAGGGGGTGTGGCATATGCAAATAACTTATGCTAATGAGCTATGCTAATGAGCTCCTGCATCTCTTTTTCTACGAAATGACCCCTGCCCACTACTATTCTGAACAAAGCATCTTTAGACAAATCAATGCTCCCTCTAAGCCAGTGGTGGTGAACCTATGGCACGGGTGCCAGAGGTGGCACTCAGAGCCCTCTCTGTGGGCACACGTGCCATCGCCCCAGCCAGGCCCAGACCATCATTAAAGTGTCGAATTCTCTGCCAAATAATTTTAAGTAAATGAAAGCATGTATTCAGGTTAAATTGCCGTGTTGGCACTTTGCGATCAATAAGTGGGTTTTGGGTCACAGTTTGAGCACTTGGTCTCTAAAAGGCTCACCATCACTGCTCTAAGCTGTGGAGTCTTGTGAGCAAAAATTCTACTTTGTGAGCTGCTGGCATGAAAGTTGTGAGCGAGCGATTGGGCTACTGCATAAATTATCTTGCTCTGGAGCCACATCCTTCCGGAGCTAAGGCAAAAATGTGTGAGCCGGAGGCTAAAATACGGTGAGCCAGCTCACACTAACTCAGCTTCTCCTTCCGGAGCTAAGGCAAAAATGTGTGAGCCGGAGGCTAAAATACGGTGAGCCAGCCCACACTAACTCAGCTTAGAGGGAACACTGGACACTCCCCCCATACATCTCCATTTGAAGGATAAGCCCACCTTTGCCTGAAGTCCCCGTAGAGGATTCGGTTGGGGAACCCCTTCCGGCAGATCCGGATCCCCTCCAGCACTCCGTTACAGCGCAGCTGGTGCATGACCAGAGAATTGTCTATCATCCCTGAGAGAGAAGGGGCAGAAAGAGAAGGGCGCAAAAGGAAGAGATGGGTTGTATTTATTTATCAATTAAATTTATGGATCGCCCCATTCCCTACAATTGTACGGCTCTGGGAGATGTAAAGGCAAAGGTAAAGGTTTCCCTTGCTCGAAAGCCAGTCGAATCCGACTCTAGGGGGCGGTGCTCATCTCCGTTTCCAAGCCGAAGAGCCAGCGCTGTCCGAAGACGTTTCCGTGGTCATGTGGCCGGCATGACTAAACACCAAGGTGCACGGAACGCTGTTTCCTTCCCACCGAAGTGGTACCTATTTATCTACTTGCAATTTCTTGCTTTCGAATGGCTAGGTTGGCAGGAGCTGGGACCAGAGACAGGAGTTCACTCCGTCACGCGGCACTCGGGTCTCAAACTGCCAAACTACCGACCTTCCAGTCTGCAGTTCAGCGTCTTAACCTCTGAGCCACCGCAGCTCTTGGCTGGGCGATGTACAATAGCATTAAAACAATAGCCAGATAAAACAATAATTCATTTTAAATTAAATTTTAAAAGACAGATGGCGAATAGTAATACTTATGATTAGTTATGCCCATATTACAGACTGCCGGTCACTTTGTAGGCAGGGGGGAAGAGGTTGAAATGCGCATGGACAACTGAGGAGGGTGCCAACCAAGGCAAAAACCGTCAGTGTCCCCAACCAAAAGCCTGGTGGGAACATCTCTGCCTTGCAGGCCCTGCGGAATTGCATAAGATCCTGCAGGGCCCTGATGCTATTTGACAGAGGGTTCCACCAGGCTGGGGCCAGCACCAAAAAGGCCCCGCCCCTGGTCAAGGATAGCCGGATATCCTTTCGGTCAGGGATCACCAGTGTGCTGTTATCCAAGGAGTTCAATGCCCTTCCGTTGTTACCGCCAGGGGTCATTTCCTGCAGGAGCGCACAGGAGCGGAGCTCCGGCAGTAAGGAGCCCAGGGGGCGGGCACAAGCAACAAGCCCCACCCCCTGCTCCCAGCAGCCCTCAGTCAGAGCAAGAAGCAGTCAGGTAGGTTGCAGAGCTCCCCCCGCCCTGGTCCAAAACAGTCTAGTGGCACCTTTAAGACCAAGTTTTATTCAGGTACAAGCTCTCCCTCCTCTGCGAGGACAGATCTGCACGTTCCCCCCCCCCAATAGCTAGCAATCCAACACAGTCCAGTGGAGCCTGAGCGGTGGGTGTTGCCTTCCGACACACTTCGGGTGAGGTCAGGGGGTGTGGCATATGCAAATAAGTTATGCTAATGAGTTATGCTAATGAGCTCCTGCACCTCTTTTTCTACTAAATGACCCCTGGTTACCGCACAGGTCTTCCCCAGCTCCCACGATCCTCTTGATCA